TTAACTATTAAATGAAGTAGAATTCATGATATATTTTTACGTACAACTTTTTTTTAACTGAGTTGAATTAAAACGAAAAATTTCTTATTCATAATTCTGAATAAAATAGCATTCATAATGCATTTTTAAATGAAACAATGGATTTTCTACTCACAATTTTGAATAGTTTTCATGGCCCATTTTAAGAAAATTTTTTTTTTATTTAATTGAATTAAAAAAATTACATTTCCTATTCAGAATTTTGAATTTAACAGTATTCACAATGCACAGAAATGGTTGATATTATTTTTAGATTTAATTGGATTGAAAAACTGCATTTCCTATTTAGAATTTTAAATTAAGCAGTATTCACGATGCACACAAAATACTATAACATTATTTTTAGATTGAAAAGCATAGAGATATATTCCATGCCATTCCTATAAATGAATAACAATACATTCAAGATTAAAAAGGAATAGATATTTGTTTCATACAATTCCTATAAATGAATAAAAATGCATTCAGGATCGAAAAGGATTCATTTTAACATTCATGTGAATCCGTATTTCTGAAAATCTGAATTCGTTTTAATCCATTTCACTCCATTCTCGTTTACTGAGATGTCTCTCTCAATACCAAACAATTTTTATTTCAAGCATTTCTTCCTGTCTCCAAAACTGTGAATGTTATTTGGGTGAGCGGTCTTAAGCGACTCACCCTGTATGGCCTACACCGAAAAAATTATATTCTTAATTTAACCCTTACCGTACCATCTACAATTTGGTGCCTCATCCATACCATCAAGGGTCACTTCAAATCTCTTCGTTTTTTTACCTCTTCAAAATAACTCAAAAAATCTCTAACAATTCACCAACATATTTTCAACTTTCTAGAATAAATATTGACTCTTTATTTTGGAAAATAATAAAATGTAGTATAATTTATAATTACCGAAAGACTCAAAGAAACTTGCACGAGGAGGAATCGCTCGGCCACTAGTTAACCATATTAGTACGGGTTAAGGGTTAAGAATATCCCACTTACGTATAGTATGTTTTCTTTTAAAATAAGCGCTGAGACGATTCTCTTAATTTAAGAGGGTAATCATCTAAAAATTAGTATATTCTTAATATGAGAATGTACAGGATGTCCTATTTTAAACGATGATTTCAAATATCTCTTGAACAATACATTTTAGAGAAAAATGCTTCAGACAAACGTTGCATGGTTCTAAGGGGGATATCATCAAAAACCGTGTGAAGCGCATGTGTGGCGACCGCTTTCGCAAATCGAGAATATATTATTAATTTAAGAGGAAATATTCTTATATCTCTCTGTTAGGAGGAAATATTAGGTGTTAAACTTAATTCCTGCCGTTTTTCGTCTCCAAAATTGATTTGTTTCGAAGGGAAGATGAATGAATACCTTAAACAAAATAATTTCCTCCATTTTCTACTTTATTACTAATTAATGATACTTTATTAATAATACTTTGATTAAGGTATTTTCCTTCGAAACAAATCGATTTTGGAGATGAAAAACGGCAGGAATTAAGTTTGACACCTAATATTAAGTACATCTTTCAAGAATACAATTTTTTCGGTGTAGTGCCCAATATACCCTACTTACTGTTTGTGAATAATTATGCAGTGAATTTAATAAAAGTATTTATACAAGGAAGTAGTATATGCATCTTTCTCTCTCGTAGAATTTTGATAAAATTACTCGTGGCTAGACTCTGTCTCTTAGTGTAGGTTGCCCGTCTGACTTGTTTGAATTAATATATTGCTCAGTTTATTCTGTTATTGTCAGAAAGCAAAATGCAGAACGCTGCTACATTGAACGACTGCTTACATTGCTAATTTTAGTAATACTACAGATATTGTAAAAGCCTTTTGATGAACAAATCGCTTTGTGTGTATGCGTACATATGGTACATGTGACTGATAAATTTGAAATTGTTGAAGTGATATACAAGATCTCCGGTAAGTTTTGATAAGGCGCTCTTGTGCGTAGATAGAGTGGACTATACTGGTAATCTATCACTTTGCAATTTTTGCAATAGTCAATGAAATATTAATTCCTAAATATTGATGAATAAACGGATAAAATCGACGCATAAGATAACTTTAAGATTTCTTTCGGAGTTCTTTACGAAATATCTTAAAGATATGTTTCTTAAAGAACTCTTAAATGTATGTTAAAGTTGTTTTATACGACAATTTTAGATATTCTGCTCATTGAATAATTAAAAAAAAGTTCCTAAAATTGCAAAATGATAGAGAACTTTTTGATTCAGTTTAGTCCGCTCTATCTACCCACGAACGCTTTGTTAAAACTTACCGAACACCCTATATATTTCACTCACTCGCGATCTCTATATCTCGATAAAGATAGCACCAGTTTTATTCAGATTGGTTGCAATTGATTGTGTCGACATTATATGAATAAAGTATTGCTTTATTTATAGCAGTGGTCGGAATTAGTTGCTCATTTCGAGCCGATTCTCAAAGCGATAGTTCCTTCACTATTGCGCATCGCTCGACGGTCTAGCCGCCGATCACGCGGATGTCGCTATGCGTGTGATAGTTACATGTGATAGTGCAACGTTTCATAAATATTTTTTTAGTGGAATAGACTCTATTCCACTAAAAAAATATCGAAGAAGATTATAAAATATTCAGCTCGAGAGTAAAATATTCTAATACAAAACATTTAATTAAACACAGATATTATACTATAAAGAAGGAAATAATATTCACAAGTTCACTATTATATACTTTGCTTGTATTATTATACGTAGTATTATGAAACATTGCACTATCATATGTAACTATCGCACGCATAGCGCCAGCCGCGTGATCAGCGGCTCAACCGTCGTTTAAATTTTAAAGAATTCTTTATCGTGGTTTCAGTTATTGAGTAATTTTTATATCTCCCCCCTCCCCCCATAGCTTAGTCGAGACACTATCAGTGTTTCCAGATAAAAAATTTGTTGATATAAAAATTCCATATATAGCTATAGCTATTGAATACTGCGAACTTGATTATAAAGGGTGTTTGATAAGTAATGATAAAACTCTCGCATAGGAATAGAGCGGACTAAACTGAGTTGAAAAGTCTTCTACACCGAAAAAATTGTATTCTTAATTTAAGAATAACCCACTTACGTATAATATGCTTTCCTCTAAAATAAGCTTTGAGACGATCCTTTTAATTTAAGAGGGTAATCATATAAAAATTAGTATATTCTTAATATGAGAATGTACAGGATGTTCTATTTTAAACGATGATCTCAAATATTTCTTGAACAATACATTTTAGAGAAAAATACTTCAGACAAAAGTTGCATGGTTTTAAGGGGGACATCATCAAATTCATCGTGTGAAGCGCGCGTGTCGCGCACGTATGGCGACGATCGCTTTCGCAAATCGAGAATATATTATTAATTTAAGAAGAAATATTCTTATATCTGTTAAGAGGAAATATTAAGTACATCTTTCAAGAATACAATTTTTTCGGTGTACCATTTTACAATTTTGACAATAGTTAACAAGATATTAATTACTAAAAATTGCCAAATATTAGTTTTAATTTTTTACTCAAGTACTATTATCTGTACAGAAAAACAGCAAGTGACAAAAATTATTTATTTTCTTCTTACAAAGCTCTGAGAATTTTTTTTCAGAATTTTTTAGCACTGCATTTTCTCACATTGCTGAATCAAAAATAGTTGCCAATATAAGAAAATGCAACACTAAAAAGTTGATAAAAAATTCTGGAAAAATTCTTAGAACTCTATGAGAAGAAAATGAATAATTTTTGTTTCTTGCTGTTTTTCTGTAAACTTGATAATACTCGAGAAAAAAATCATTAAAAACCATATTTGATAATTTTTATTAATGATTTTTATTAATTAATATCTTGTTAATTATTGCGAAAATTTTAAAATGGTAAAGAACTTTTCAACTCACAAGGGAAGTTTCACAACTGTCCGGAACCGATTTGATTCTCCATGAAATATATTGTAAAACACGAAAATCTAAGAAACACGTATTTTTTT